GGTTGAGCTATAGGCGCCGAGCCTCTTTTTGTTCTTTTAACACTACCACCATTGCGTCCTTAGTCAATGTAAGATTATTGTTATTTTGTTTTCTGCTTTAGTTTTTAGTGTCTGCTGATTGATTGTGATATCCTGAACTCATTGTCCTTAGTAGTTATCAAATTATCCCAATTATGCTAATGTTGATTTTCTAGACTACATTCCTCGCTTATATTTAAGCTATTTCCATGTTCATGGAGTTCAGGGAGAAGAGAGAAGCCTTCTTTGTAGGTTGGAAGTATTAATGGGTAGCCTACACAACATGTTTTATAAATGCTACTGAGCATTTAAAAGTGGTAGTTGCTATCATTGTTAATAAGGAGTTGGGGACATTTGGTTAACATGAGATGTCCCTGAATTACATGAGGACTTCAGATATTTAAGGTTCTCTCGTTAGCATAAACAATTGAGTTAGCGGTACTTGGTGTTTCTGCCTTTGGCCAAGAGAGTAGCAAAAGTGGCTGAGTTTCATAGATTTCCCCATTCCTTGATTACTCTACCTCCCTCTTTATTTACCTTTTCATTTTCTACCCAATCTATGTCATGATTCTTGAGAATTTTACTTTCTTTCCTAGGAACCTTGAGTCAGATGTCTGGAGAACTAAGCAAAGATGGTGACCTGATAGTCAGCATGCGGATTCTGGGCAAGAAGAGAACTAAGACGTGGCACAAGGGCACCCTTATTGCCATTCAGACAGTTGGTAAGTCTAACCCAGAGGAAGCACTAAGGAAAGGCAGCCTGCATGTCTCCATCACAGATTACTTCTTTACCCGCATCCTTCCTTTTTTCTCTTATTAAGCAGCCAAGATTTACACAGAAACTGACAGTCTTTTTCAATTTTGCATATCTTTCTTTTTTACACAGGGCCGGGGAAGAAGTACAAGGTGAAATTTGACAACAAAGGAAAGAGTCTACTGTCGGGGAACCATATTGCCTATGATTACCACCCTCCTGCTGACAAGCTCTATGTGGGCAGTCGAGTGGTGGCCAAGTACAAAGATGGGAATCAGGTCTGGCTATATGCTGGCATTGTAGCTGAGACACCGAATGTCAAAAACAAACTCAGGTACCTGAACAGAGGACAGTAAAGGGAATAGAGGCTGGGAGCACAACACCTGCCCTGTTTTTGCCAAAGTCCAGATCTCACAATTGGCTTTTGTATTCTTAGTCCAGGGGTCCTCAGACTTTTTAAACAGGGGTCCGGTTCACTGTCCCTCAGACCATTGGAGGGCTGAACTGCCGGCCCAAGTTTGAGGATGCCTGTCATAGTCCCTCAGACACTTTCTCTTTCTTTGCCACCGGAGTCATTTGGGTGATTTCTTTCTCCCTCCCTCATTTTAAGAATTCCTTTTCACAAGGGGAAAACTTGGAGGAGAGTAATCAAGATCAATTAACGGTTGGGAGAATGAGGGATTCACACAGAAGTCAGAAATGAGGTGGAGACCAAATGGTTAGCAGCAGCAAAATAAATGATTTTTGAAAAAGTAGGGATGTTGGTTAGATTAAGAGAGAATTTCTAACTCTTAAGATGAGAAGAAAAAAAGGAAACAGGAGGAAAGTAGTAAATTGGGACATCTTCCCTGGGGTGCAACCTGTTAGGATCCAGAGAAGGAGAAGCTATGGTAAAATAATCACTGTAGGTCATGTTAAGTATCATAACCTCCCGATCTTCCTACCATTATTCTTCCTTTCCAGGTTTCTCATTTTTTTTGATGATGGCTATGCTTCCTATGTCACACAGTCTGAACTGTATCCCATTTGCCGGCCATGTGAGTGTCTCCATTCTTCCTTAGCTGTATTAGTTTCCTCCTCTACCTTACTTATACTCTTAACACTCCAATCGCAAAGCTAGTGTTTTTGGTGCTTTAGTCTCAAAGAACGTAAGTTGAAATCAGGTGTAGTGGCACATGCCTATTGTCCCAGCTATTTGGGAAGCTCAAGCAGGGGGATCACTTGAGCCTAGGATTTTGAGACCAGCCTGAGCAAGAGCTCATTTTTTTTTTTTTTTGAGATAGTGTTTCACTCTGTTACCCAGCATAGAGTGCCATGCCATCAGCCTACCATACAGCGACTTCAAACTCCTGGGTTACAGTGATCCTGCCTCAGCCTGTCAAATAGCTAGGAGTACAGGCACCCACCATAACACCTGACTAATTTTTCTTTTTCTATTTTTTTTTTTTTCTTTAGAGGTGGGGTCTCACTCTTGCTCAGGCTGATCTCAAACTCCTGAGCTCAGACAATCCAGTCCTTCTATCTCAGCCTGTCAGAGTGGTAGGATTACAGGTGCGAGCCACTGGGCCCAGCCAATACCTCATCTCTTAAAAAAAAATACGTGTGTGTGTATGTGGATTTGTATATATAAAGAGGATAACTTTTATTGATGTCCTTTGGAGATAGATTTTTATTGTTCATCTCTAGGGCTGGGTCTTTGTCATCTAAGAGTGAAACATATAAGTCACTACAAAAGTTTTGAGACAGACTATGTATGTTATGGTCCGTTATTTCACTTCCAAGAAACAGTTCAAAGCATCCTTTCTGATTCACCCATGCAAGTTTCAACTTGCTCAGCTTATTGGTGTTGTTGGAAGGGCTTCATTTCTTTACATCTGTGCAGATTTCATATTTCTTAATTTTTGTGTATCTCAAAATGTAGAAGATCCTGACTAACTGTGAGTGGACTGCTCATATTATAGATGTGTTTTGATTTAATTTCTAAATGATAAAGCTTGGAAAGGTGTTAGTTCTTTCCTAGTCTAATGCTGCACCCACCTCTTGTATAGGTCTGTGGGCTGCATAGCACTTTCTACAGAAGCTATGTTGAGCAGAGCTCCATAGTGTCCTCTTGCTACTCTGCAACTGTTATAAGTTTCAGAAGAATTAACATTTTCATGTAATGTGACAGTAAATACAGAGGGTGCCTAAAAAAAAATGTATTCACATTTTACGAAAGGAAAAAGCTGTTAGAATTATAATGCTCAACATGTACTGATAACGTGTGTTATCTTTTTTTTTTTTTGAGACAGTCTCGCTGTATCGCCCTTGGTAGAGTGCTGTGGCATCATAGCTCACAGCAACCTCCAGCTCTTGGGCTTAAGCAATTCTCTTGCCTCAGCCTCCCAAGTAGTTGGGACTACAGGTGCCCACCACCAACTATTTTTCTTGCCGTTGTCATGGTTGTTTTAGCTGGCCCAGGCTGGGTTTGAATCTGTCAGCCTTGGTATATGTGGCTGGCACCATAACCACTGTGCTATGGGCGCTGAGCCTGTGTGATAGCTTCTTTTTTTTTTTTTTTTTGCAATTTTTTGGCCAGGGCTGGGTTTGAACACACCACCTCTGGTACATGGGGTCAGTGCCCTACTCCTTTGAACCACAGGCACCACCTGTAATATCTTCTATGTTGTATCTTGTGTCTCTTATAATTGCAGAAGTTAAATGTGACTTGAGTGTTACCAATTTATAATCTTTCCATATCTTAAAATGCACATACATTTTTTAGCACCCTCTGTACATTTGAATCCCTTAACTTGGGAATGAGAAAGAAAGATACTTTTTTTTATTAATTTCATGAAACCACCTGATCTTTCTAAATTTACCACTAGACAGTGTCAACAAGTGAGCAAGAATTTCCACTTATATTTTCCTAAGGACAAATATCCATTGGGTGAATTGGGTGAATTAATTCTGTTTGTATATTGCTTATTTAGGATTTACTTGATTTATAAATTTGTGCAATTGATACATTAGGTTCCCTGCTTAGGTGGTCTTAGTTTTGCTTCCCTTGAGGTTATAAGTTCTTTTTTTTTGAGACAGAATCCTGGTATGTCGCCCTCAGTGTCACAGCTCACGGCAACCTCAAACTCTTGGGCTTATGCAATTCTCTTACTTCATCCTCCCAAGTGCCTGCACAAAGACTGGCTATTTTTTATTGTAGTTGTTGTTGTTTAGCAGGCCCCAGGCTATGTTTGAACCCGCCAGCCTTGGTGTATGTGGCCAGCGCCCTAACCATGGAGCTATGGGCACTGAGCCAAGGTTATGATTTCTTCATTTCTTCTCTTCCTCTCAACTTGAAAAATATCAAATGTCTCTTTGCCAACTATTTTTCCCTATGAAGACATGCCTTACCTTACTTGCCCTCTCTCAGCTCTACTTCTTCCTTGGAACAGTGAAAAAGACTTGGGAGGATATAGAAGACATCTCTTGCCGGGACTTCATAGAAGAGTATATCACTGCCTACCCCAACCGCCCCATGGTGCTGCTCAAGAGTGGCCAACTTATCAAGACTGAGTGGGAAGGCACCTGGTGGAAGTCCCGAGTTGAGGAGGTGGATGGCAGCTTGGTCAGGATCCTCTTCCTGGTACTGTTCTTCCCTAGAATTTTGGAGGCAGGGATCAAGATAGGGTGGAGGGGCATAACAAACAGTAACAAGGATGATAGCTATTCAGTAGCTTTCTGTAGCTTTCCATAGCTCTCCTCTTTTGTGTCCTATGTTTCTGGTCAAATTTTACTTTGTCCTGTTTTGTTCCTCTCTGGATGGTTGTTGAATATAAAATTTATAAATTGAATTATGTACCAATCTGCATGATTTTGATTTATTACCGTTTTCCCCAAGGAGTATTCACATTGTGTGTAGGTACAGAGAAGGCAGCCAACTCTGGTTTTCCAGTGTTAAGATTTTAGTTGGATCAAGAAGATGGATCAAGGCTCGGCACCTATAGCTCAACCGGCTAAGGCGCCAGCCACGTACACCTAAGGTGGCGGGTTCGAATCCCTAGCCTGGACCCGCCAAACAACAATGATGGCTGCAACCAAAAAATAGTCAGGCGTTGTGGCGGGTGCCTGTGGTCCCAGCTACTTGGGAGGCGGAGGCAGGAGACTCGCTTGAGCCCAGGAGTTGGAGGTTGCTGTGAGCTGTAATGCCACAGCACTCTGCCCAGGGGGACAGCTTGAGGCTCTGTCTCAAAAAAAAAAAAAAGAAGATGGATCAAGGAATTGAAGGTCATGATTATATTTTAAGGCTCCATTTAACTCTTAGATCTTTTTTACTCATCCTTCTCACCCTTCTCACCCCCATCTTATAATTATATTTCTTCTCTGTCTTATCACAGCCCTTTGTTCTTAGGGCAAATGATCATTATCACACTTCCTATACTCAGTGTAGACAGTTTCTCTCCTTTAATTTCTTAAATGAGGAATATATGTTTTTCTTCTTTTATGTTCCTGATACTTATCGTGGAGCCTAGCCCATAAGTTTATGAAGAGATGAGGGCTTATCAGGGAGATTTCTCAGAGGTAGCACATGATGTATAATTTCCACATGTGACAAGATGCTAGCCTTTTTAACCTGTTTCCCCGTTAATTGTCTTTTCCTCCCAATCCCCCAGGATGACAAAAGATGTGAATGGATCTATCGAGGCTCTACGAGGCTGGAACCAATGTTCAGCATGAAGACATCCTCAGCCTCTGCACTGGAGAAGAAGCAGGGGGGACAGCTCAGGACACGTCCTAATATGGGTATGTCCTAAAGATAACCCGGGGAAGGGGAGAAACAGGGCAAACTAGCAAAGGATGTTGTATACAGTGGCTATGCTTTGTTTACTAGGATGACACTACTGACTTATTGGAAACAGAATGTGTGCCCTAAACTATTTCCAGTAGTGGTGATGGACTTGTTTTGCTGCTTCCACATGCTGTGGCTCTGATTCCTTGTAAACAACCACATAAAAGTTTAAAACTACTGGCACAGGTTAGGGTGGTAGTAGCCTCTCCATTATCTATATGAGAATTATCTGCCTTCTGTGCTATCTATGGTCAGTTTTCTTTTGGGGGGAGGGGAAGGGAGGAAGGTGTTTTGTTTGTTTGTTTTTAAGAGACAGAATCTCACTTTATTGCCCTTGGTAGAGTGCCATAGCATCACAGCTCACAGTAACCTCCAACTCCTAGGATTAGGCAATTCTCTTGCCTCAGCCTCCCGAGTAGCTGGGACTACAAGTGCCCGCTACAATGCCCAGCTATTTTTTTGTTGCAGTTTGGCCGGGGCCAGGTTTGAACCTGCCACCCTCAGTATATGGGGCCAGCTCCTTATCCAGTGAGCCACAGGCACCGCCCAGTGGTCATTTTCTTTAAAACTCAAGACTGGTTTTTGGTTTTTGTTTTTACTTTGTTCATGTTTGTATCATACTTGCTAGCTCATTTTTTTTCTTGCCACCGCCTGTTTTTTTTTTTTTTAGGCAGAATCTCACTTTATTGCCCTGGATAGAGTACCATGGTATCATAGCCCACAGCAACCTCAAATACTTGGGCTCAAGAAATCCTCTTGCCTCAGCCTTCCCTAGTAACTGGGTCTACAGGTGCCTGTCACAACACCTGGCTATTTTTAGAGACAGAGTCTTGCTCTTGCTTAGGCTGGTCTTGAACCCCTAAGTGCAAACAATCCACCCCAACCCCCTCAGCCTCCCAGAGTGCTAGGAGCTACCAAGCCCAGCCCTGTCACCATTAGTTGATAAAAGAGTACATTTTAAAAAAATAAAAAATAAATAAATAAATATTCATGGTTGGGCAGCACCTGTGGCTCAGTGGGTAGGGCACTAGCCCCATATATGGAGGGTGCAGGGTTTGAACCCAGCCCCAGCTAAACGGCAACAAAAAATAGCCAGGTGTTATGGCAGGCTCTTATAGTCCCAGCTACTGAGGAGGCTGAGGCAAGAGAATCACCTAATCTCAGGAGTTGGAGGTTGCTGTGAGCTCTGACGCTATGGGACTCTACTGAGAGGGATAAAGTGAGACTGAATGTTGCTAAAAAAAAATATATACACACACACATATATATTCATGGCATGGCTCAGTAAGTAGGGCACTGGCCCTATATACCGAGGGTAGTGGGTTCAAACCCAGTCCCAGCCAAACTGCAACCAAAAATAGCCCGGTGTTGTGGCAGGCACCTGTAGTCCCAGCTACTTGGGAGGCTGAGGCAAAAGAATAGCCTGATCCCAGGAGCTGGAGGTTGCTATGAGCTGTGATGCCACGGCACTCTACCAAGGGTGACAAAGTAAGATTCTTTCTCTAAAAAAAGAAAATATTCGTGGCTTGGCAGCTAGGGTGCCAGCCACATACACTGGAGCTGGCGGATTCAAATCCAGCCCAGGCCTGCCAAACAACAATGACAACTATAACCAAAAAATAGCTGAGCATTGTAGTGGGTGCCTGTAGTCCCAGCTACTTGGGAGCCTGAGGCAAGATAAGTGTTTAAGCCCAAGAGTTTGAGGTTTCTGTGAGCTATGACACCATGGCACTCTACCCAGGGCAACATAGTGAGACTCTGTCTCAAAAAAAAAAGTGTGTATATATATTCACCAAAGGCTAGGTGCAGTGGCTCATGCCTGTAATTCCAGCACTCTGGGAGGGCAAGGTAGGAATATTCCTTGAGCTCAGGAGTTTAAGACCAGCCTAAGCAAGAGCAAGACCCCCATCTCTACTAAAAATAAATAAATTAGCTGGGCATCATGGCAGGCACCTGTAGTCCCAGCTACTTGGGAGGCTGAGGCAGAAGGATCCCAGGAGTTTGAGGCTTCTGCAAGATGGGCTGATACCTCAGTATTCTAGCCTGGGCATCCAAGTGAGACAATAAATGAAGAAAGAGAGAAAGGAAGTAAGGGGAAGGAGAGAAGAAGGAAGGACCCACCCACCCAACGTGTCCCCACTCATTGGTGTAAATAATGGAAACTGGCAGTTTTTAGTACTTACTCAAAATGTTTTCATTGCTCTTTTTCATATTGCATCAGTTAAGGGTCAGGTATGTGAATGAATATAATCGACACAGCTGTCAGCTTCTCAGAGGGTAATTTCCCTTTTCCTATAGGTGCTGTGAGGAGCAAAGGCCCTGTTGTCCAATACACACAGGATCTGACCAGTACTGGGACCCAGTTCAAGCCAATGGAGCCCCCACAGCCTATAGCTCCACCTGCCCCCCCTGTTCCACCTCTGTCCCCTCAAGCAGGTGACAGTGAGTGAGTGCTATTCCTTCTTTTTTCTTCAGTTTCTTTCATAATGTATTTTCTGCATCTTTTACTATATCACCTCCTTTCTAATTGCCTAGAAGCTTAGAAAGCCAGCTTGCCCAGTCACGGAAGCAAGTAGCCAAAAAGAGTACATCCTTCCGACCCGGATCTGTGGGCTCTGGTCATTCCTCCCCTACATCTCCTACACTCAGTGAAAATGTTCCTGGTGGAAAATCTGGGATCAACCAGACCCACAGGTGAGGAAATCTCAGGTGCTTTGGGCAGGTTAGCAGTGTAGGCTGAGTAGTCACTGTGTGCGGAAAGTTCCTTGGTTCCAAAGGGTTTACTTTAAGGTTGTGATGGTGGCTCGGTGCCTGTGGCTCAAGTGGCTAAGGCGCCAGCCACATACACCTAAGGTGGTGGGTTCGAATCCAGCCCGGGGCCCGCCAAAACAACAATGATGGCTGCGACCAAAAAATAGCCAGGCATTGTGGCGGATGCCTGTTGTCCCAGCTACTTGGGAGGCTGAGGCAGGAGACTCACTTGAGCTCAGGAGTTGAAGGTTGCCGTGAGCTTTGATGCCACAGCACTCTACCCAGGGGGACAGCTTGAGGCTCTGTCTCAAAAGAAAAAGGTTATTATGGTGAGGAGTTTAGGCTTAAAAAGGAAATGTTAACCTTACTTTTTTTTTTGGCTGGGAAGCATATGGAGCCAGTGCCCTACTGCTTTGAGCCACAAGCACTGCCCAATCTTACACATTTTTAAGAGACAGAAAATAAGAATAACTGGATTAGAAACTGGGTGCTTGGAAATACAGTGTCAGCAAAAAGTCATTTGCTAAAACTTCTTGTTGAAGATGGTACCATTGTTGCTAAAATAAAGAGAAAAGTGCCAGGCACAGTGGCTCATACTTGTAATCCCAGCACTTGGGAGGCTGAGGCAGGCAGATTGCCTGAGCTCACAAGTTCAGGAGCAGCCTGAGCAAGAGCAAGACTCCATCTCTACAAAATAGCCAGGCATTGTGGTGGGTACCTGTAGTTCCAGCTACTCAAGAGGCTGAGGCAAGAGAATCGCTTGAGCTCAAGAGTTTGAGGTTGCTGCATGCTATGCTGCCACAGCTCTCTACCCAGGGTGACAAAGTGAGAATCTATCTCAGAAAAGAAAAGACCACAGTCTCTTTCCTTGAATCCTGGGAATTGGTAAGGACATTTAGAGGACACACAAAGGATAAGAGACTGGATTCTACTTCTGTAATTCCCAGGCAAATACATTTTAGTAAGAGGTGAGCTATTGATGGAGGTTGCTATGAGCTGTGATGCCATAGCACTCTACCGAGGATGACAAAGTGAGACTCTGTCTCTAAAAATAAAAAAGAGGTGAGGTATTGAAATGGAGATGGTGCCTGTCAGTTAAGAGTAACCAGGGAGAGCTGGGCATGGTGGCTCATGCCTATAATTCTAGGGTGCTAGGCCAAAGTGGGTGGATTGTCTGAGCTCAGGAGTTCCAGACCAGCCTGAGTAAGAGCAAGATGCCATCTCTACTAAAAATAGAAAAACTAGGCAGGTATTGTGGTGGGTACCTGTAGTCCCTGCTACCGAGGAAGCTGAAACAGGAGGATTACTCGAACTCAAGAGTTTGAGGTTGCTGTGAGCCCTGATGCCACGGTACTCTATCCAGAATGACAGAGTGAGACTCTGTTTTAAAAAAAAAACAAAAAAAGAAAGAGACCAGGAAGTTTCATTGTCCAAGGTTGGTAAAGCCAGGGAAGATCTTTCTTAAACATCATCTTAGTTTCAAGAGCATAGTTACTTGAAAGATGAGAGAAATGGCTTAGTTGGCTAGAAGGATAATTATACAACAGAGGTCCTATTGCTTTCCAATCTGATCTTTGGCATTTCATTTGCAGATCACCTTTAGGCTTAACAGCCTCTACCCCAGCATCCTCAGCAACCCCAGCCCCTCCAGTACCCCCAGCCTTCCATGGCATGCTGGAGCGGGCCCCAGCAGAGCCCTCCTACAGAGCTCCCATGGAGAAGCTTTTCTACTTACCTCATGTCTGTAGCTATACTTGTCTGTCTCGGGTCAGACCTATGAGGAATGAGCAGTACCGGGGCAAGAACCCTCTGCTGGTCCCACTGCTGTATGACTTCCGGCGGATGACAGCTCGGCGTCGAGTTAATCGCAAGATGGGCTTTCATGTTATCTATAAGACACCCTGTGGCCTCTGTCTTCGGACGATGCAGGAGATTGAACGCTACCTTTTTGAGACTGGCTGTGACTTCCTCTTCCTGGAGATGTTCTGTTTGGATCCCTATGTTCTCGTGGACCGGAAGTTTCAGCCCTATAAGCCTTTTTACTATATTTTGGACATCACCTATGGGAAGGAAGATGTTCCCCTATCCTGTGTTAATGAGATTGACACAACTCCCCCACCCCAGGTGGCCTACAGCAAGGAACGGATCCCAGGCAAGGGTGTTTTCATTAACACAGGCCCTGAATTTCTGGTTGGCTGCGACTGCAAAGATGGATGTCGGGACAAGTGAGTTGATAGAAGAATTGCTTCCCCTGCCTCCGGCTTTATTATGGTTGCTTTTCTTTTCACCTTATATCTATACTGCTTTCCCTATCTCCCTTTACCTTCTCCCTCAGCTGGAACTCCTGCCACAGAGCCTTCATGAAAGCTCTGAGGTCAGGAGGCTAGAGTCTAATGTGGCCTCACTGAGTTACTCTGTATTTGTGTATCTTACGTTGTTTTTTCTCTCATCTTCTCCCCTTTTCCTTTGCTTGCCTCCGTCTTGTACAGATCCAAGTGTGCCTGCCATCAGCTAACTATCCAGGCTACAGCCTGTACCCCAGGGGGCCAAATCAATCCTAACTCTGGCTACCAGTACAAGAGACTAGAAGAGTGTCTCCCAACAGGGTAAGTAGTCTGAGGATGTTGGGATGCCTCCGAGACTGAGTACCATGTTCTTAGTTTTCTGTATTTATAGGAACCTTCAGAAATCTAAAATTTAGGACCAAAAATAGAATGCCACCGTGGCCATTTTATTAATTAAATCTTATTTTCTGAAGTCCCAAGAATTTCTTTTGTGGGCTTTCCTTGAAATGAAGGCATGGGGCCAGGTGCAGTGGCTCACACCTGTAATCCTAATACTATGGGAGGCTGAGGTGTGTGGATTACCTGAGCTCACAGGTTCAAGACCAGCCTGAGCAAGAGCGAGATCCCACCTCTAAAAATAGCCGGGTGTTGTGGCAGGCACCCAGCTGCTCAGGAGGCTGAGGAAAGAGAATCACTTGAGTCCGAGAGTTAGAGTTTGAGGTTGCTGGGAGATAGAATGCCACGGCACTCTACTAAGGGTGACAAAGTGAGACTCTGTCTCACAAAAAAAAAGAAAGAAAATTGAATTCATGGCTTGGCTCAGCGCCTGTGGCTCAAGCAGCTAAGGACCCAGCCACATACACCTAAGGTGGCAGGTTCAAATCCAGCCCGGGCCCACCAAACAACAATGATGGCTGCAACCAAAAAATAGCCGGGCGTTGTGGTGGGCGCCTGTGGTCCCAGCTACTTGGGAGGCGGAGGCAAGAGACTCGCTTGAGCCCAGGAGTTGGAGGTTACTGTGAGCTGTGATGTCATGGCACTCTACCCAGGGCGACAGCTTGAGGCTCTTGTCTCAAAAAAAGAGAATTCATGGCTTGGTGCTTGTGGCTCAAGTGACTAAGGCGCCAGCCACATACACCTAAGGTGGCCGGTTCAAATCCAACCCAGGCCTGCCAAAACAACAATGACGGCTGCAACCAAAAAATACCTGGGCGTTGTGGCGGGCACCTGTAGTCCCAGTAGAAGAAAGATTGGGAGAAGCTTGAAAGATCTGTAGAAGCTTCATCTTTTCAGATGTCTCAAGCCTCTAGTATTTTGTGTTAACTTACGTTAAACAAAAAAAAAATGTGAATATATGTGTGTGTGTGTGTGTGTGCGTGCGTTTATTCTTTTTTCTCTTCCTAAGCCTTCCTGAGAAGAGAAAAAAAAAAAGTATATAGGCTCGGTGCCTGTGACTCAAGTGGCTAAGGCACCAGCCACATACAACTAAGGTGGCGGGTTTGAATCCAGCCTGGGCCTGCCAAAACAACAATGACGGCTGCAACCAAAAAATAGCCGGGCGTTGTGGTGGGCACCTGTGGTCCCAGCTACTTGGGAGGCTAGGCAGGAGACTCATTTGAGCCCAGAATTTGGAGGTTGCTGTGAGCTGTGATGCCATGGCACTCTACCCAAGGGGATAGCTTGAAGCTCTGTCTCAAAAAAAAAAAAAAAAAAGTACATATATGTATTTAAAGCCTGAATGATTTCACCTGGAAAGAAGGTTGACATTTGGGGCGAGGCTCAGGAGCAAGCTCTGCATGCCACATTTTAGGGGCTGAGCAGCGTATTAGATTAATGACAGGAAAGAGGAAGATGATAATATGATAAATTGGCATGTGCAAACTTATAAACTAATACATTTAGTTCTCAAGATACATAATTAACAGAAACAGAGAGGAGAAAAGCATTAATGAAATAATTCAGTAAATGTTCCATAATTGAAAGGGCCAATTAGGTCTTGACATAACATAATGAAAATAGATCCCCACAAAGAGACATGATCATAAAATGGCAGGACACTGAGAACAAAGGGAAAATCCTGAAAGTTTCTAGTGAAGAGAAATAGTACAGAAAAAAACTCAAAATTATTTCAACCTTCCCAAAATAACACTAGAAGATAGATGGCAATTGAGGGAAAATTATTTCTTTTCTTTTTTTCTTTTTTTGAGACAGAGCCTCAAGCTGTTGCCCTAGGTAGAGTGCTGCTCACAGCAACCTCCAACTCCTGGGCTCAAGTGAGTCTCCTGCCTCAGCCACCCAAGTAGCTGGGACCACAGGCACCCACCACAATGCCTGGCTATTTTTTGGTTGCAGCCATCATTGTTTTGGCAGCCCGGGCTGGATTCGAACCTGCCACCTTAGGTATATGTGGCTGGCGCCATAGCCACTTGAGCCACAGGCACTGAGCCAGGAAAATTATTTCTAACTTAGAATTATAAGCTCAGGCAAACTATCCCTTAAGTATTAAGGTGGGCAGTACTCAACACTTTCCATTATTCCCCTTCTCAGAAAGTTACTGAGAACATTTGCCAAAATGAGAGGAAAAGCCAAGAAAGAGGAAGGCAGTATCATGCAGTAAAGGGAGCTCCCAGGCTGACAGCTGTGCTCTAGGCGTAACAGTCTAGGAGAACAATCTGTACTTGAGCAGGTCAGCTGGCTGAAGGAGTGAATTCCCCAGGAAGATGGGGTTGATAGAAACCTGACCTGTCCGAATATCTTTTTTTTTTTTTTTTTTTTGAGA